TTCGCGGTCTAAGACATCCGTGGACTCGAGTTTGAAAGAGTGACCCTGGTTGTGTTGTAGGTGGTGGAAAATAGCTGAGGAGTAGCCGTTGGCACTAGGTCGGCAATGTTCTTTGTACCTTACTTTAAGCGGTCGACTTGTCTCTCCGATGTAGGTGTTGTTACAATTGGGCTCCTCACATTTGAGTCTGTAAATAACATTCGCCTTGGTACCCTTGTGAGGTCGGTCCTTAGGGTGTACCAGTCTTTGTCTGAGGGTTGAGTGAGGTTTGAAGTTAGTGGCTATGTTGAAGTTTTGGAAGATCCGTCGGAGTTTCTCAGATACTCCTTGGACATACGGAATAGTGATGTTGGCCTTGTTTTTGTTGGTCAATGGTTTGCACTTCTGGGTTTTCTTAGACTGATCTGAAGGTTTGAGCGCTTTGTTGAAAGTCCAGTTTTGGTAGCCACATTTAGCCAGGGCACCTCGGAGGTGTTTTTGTTTGTCCGTTTTGGCTTGGTCTGAAGTGACAATGTTGTCTGCACGATGGAAGAGAGTTTTGATCACTGCTAGTTTGTGTTCCAAAGGGTGGTGGGAATCAAAAGCCAGGTACTGATCAGTGTGGGTTGGTTTCCTGTACACTTCGAAACGAAGGTTACCATCTTCCCCTACGATAGTTTTGGTGTCTAGGAAAGGGAGCATGTTGTCATGGCTTGGCTCCTGTGTGAATTTGATGTTGTCATCTATCTGGTTCCTTTTTCGACTTCCAAAAATTTGTCTTCACTTTATTTGCATATCAATCAACAGGTTGTGTATATAAACCTGCTTTCCCCTCTGGTCTCTCAGTCACTGACGAAAGCTAGTGGATACTAGCTGAAACGTCTGACGTTTTCAAAATCATATCCAGTTGCTTGAGTAACTGTTTTTTGGCACATGTAGTAGTAGGCTTGAGAACAAAGTCATTGCAAAAGGCATGCAGTATTTCAACAAGAATGGCTATTCACATCATTATACAAATTGAAAGCAACAACAAAGAAGAGAAGCTGTTACATTTAGTAACTAGTAGAAGGTGTTTAACCATTGTTGATAACATTGTGACATGACTGACACTTTCCATTGGTTCTGTTCCCATGAATCTCTGCAGGCTTTCCAACCATTCTTTGTATCCACCACTCTTCCCTACTCTGTGATCAGGGGTGAGGAGGTACCACTCAAAGTCTCCATCTTCAACTACATGCAACAGTGCCAAGTGGTGAGTCCTGAGCATTGTTTGTCACACTATTTTCCCTTTAGACTATCCTTAAAAGCTCATTACACACACCCCATTTTGGCTTCCTAACAACTTGAAATATCCAGTCTATGACCTGAAATTAGTCTTGAGAAGTTGACTGTATACTTGGCCAGG